GTTACATGTTCTCTATACTTTAGGAGAGATTTATCATGTGTCATCATTTAATGTATAGCTATGGTGGCAAAATCTCTCATTTTAGAAGAAAACAACCAAAACAGTGTTTTCCCACAGGGAGTTGATATTTTCAAGGGACTAAATGGATAAATAAAACCTATTATTACTGTATTATTATTATTATTATGACAATGACTATTACTTTCCCTTAGTTTATATTTTGGAGAGTTTTATTGGTTAAAAATAAGTGACTAGGTAAGAAACTATTCACAGTGTCCTTATATATAGTCCTCAGATTGAGAAGCAAAGTGATAAGGAAATAAGTATGTGCCAGAGTTAGACAATGTGAGTTCTAGTTTCTGCCTGTAGATAGTCACTACCTTTCTTTCAGTTTATTCTCATCAATTTGGGTATCTGTATCACAGATCCTTTTTGAGCATTATGAACTAATGCATATGAATATACTGTACAAAGAGGAAAATATTATACAAAAGTCAGCAGTTTTAATAGTCAAGATGTAAATGCTTAAAAATTAACAAAAGAAGAATCTACCTAGATGCAAATGCTCTATGACGTATCCTACAATCAGCATCCCTTTACCTGAGGAGGAGGAGGAGCAGATCCCACTGCATCCCCAAGAGAATAAATACAAGGAGAGGTAGCACTTAGGTTCCAACTGTGACCCCCATAGCCCTGCAGGGGTAGTGGGTGCAAGGAGCTGGGTGGTTGGGTGGGTGTGTTGGGTGGCAGATGGGTGGTGGTGGTGTCAGGGAAAATAAACAAGATGGTACTTTCATGATTATTCAGAGGAGCTCTGCAGTGATATGATTTTCTTCCACACTGGCATTGACTCCCCTGTCCCCCAGGGGAGAGGGGGATATGATAAACTCTCTGTCTAGACCAACTAACTCCAGTGAACTCAGCTTCAGTGAATCTTTTGCAGTTGGAAGGACATTAAGGAGGCCCCATGGAGAAGATTCTTTGACATCTTTTTCTGAAATGATAACAGCTGTTGCATGATCTAGAACTCCTGGTCTGACCAGTACAAATTATATTGGCTTCATGGACAGAACACTAAATCAAGTTGTGAAAAATGAATCTTGTAGTCAAACAGATTTTGGCACAGCCTGCCAACAAACTGCATAGATTCAACTTTTTAAAAACTCAATTCAGGCTTGCCAGTTTGTGCTTGTAGATTGCAAAAGCAGATATCTGATCCAAGATGACAATATTTATAGCTCAGGATTTGTAGCCTATATTTCTTTCTCTCCCAACCCCTCCAAAAATGTTCTGTATCATCACAAGGAATATTCAAAATTGTCATTTCCTAATAATACTAATTGTAATAACATCATAATATCCATTTTTAGGTCTATTTGTACTCTTACTGCTGCCATTGAATAAGAATCTACTCTGTACCAGGGCTTTACATGCTAAGTGTTATTTAAAAGCCAGCACAGCCTTAGGAGGTAGGTTATTATGATGTCGATTTTACAGAGAAGAATCCAAAGGCTCAGACAGCTGGCAACATCTGGAGTAGGGAAAATGTGCTTGGCCAGATGCAAGCTCATCTTGATGTTATGGGTTTCGGAAGGAATGAGGAATTGGCTCATGCCTTTTTTATTTTTTTAAGTAGCACATGGATATTCCAGTGCAGTCCACCTTCTACTTCCAAAGTCCTCAATAGTTCAGTAATTTATAGACTACTGAGATATAAATCAAATTATCCCAATAATTTATCAACTACTGAGATATAAATAAAATTATTCCAACTCTGTCCATCAAGTAGGTAAGTTTAATCTCATTGAGTACAAAAAAAAAAAAAAGAAAGAAAGAGAAAAGTCGAGGAGGAGGAAAACAAAGATGACATTGACAGTGTAGGAGCCAAGGGCAAGCTGCCCCAACATGGACCACTTTGGCATGAAGATTATTCTGAGCAGAAAGCAATAGAGACCCTATGGGCTCAAGAGAAACTTTTGTCCCTCCCTTAATTATACAGAGTAATCTCAATTGGAGGTCTTTTCCAGAACAAGGGTTATTAGTGGAAATAAATTTTATTTGAAAATTTCTGCCACCCGTATGGCAGGACAAACCTCTAATTACCAAACTTCTATTCTTCTTCTTATCACCCTGTGAAGTACATTCCTTTCCTCTGAAATCCCAGACCTCTATCCCTACTCCTTAGTTCAGAATGACATATATGCCTCATTTTGTCTGAGTGTCTTTGGAATTCCCATGTCTGTGTGGATTCCCTGTATGCATGCTATTAAATTCTATTTTCTCCTGTTAATCTGTTTTATGTCAGTTTGATTCTTAGTCCAGCTGGATGGACCCTTCAAAGGGAAAGAAATTCTTACTCCCCGACAACGGAAACCACTCCCTATATGGCATAAAGCTCCATGCATTCACTGGCAAAACAAATGTCTAATGAATAACTACTAAACATGTCCAACACTCTGACATGTATAGAGAGGAGAAGGGAAGGAGAAGCTTTGCAGATAAAGTTTGGCTCTGCTTCTCTCTTTAAAAGTCTCAATCTAGAAGGCTAAACAGAAATATCCATGGCAGAGAAATACTGTACCATTTTAGACCAGAGCTAACTGGATACAGATAAAATTCCCAAGTTTCAGCCAGTACAGGCCATGCCGCTTTCAAATGGAATAACAGCCCTTACTGATAGAACTCGCAATTACCAGGAATGCCAAGAGTCAGTAGCTTGTTATGCTGAGACTTTTTTTTTTTTTTTTTTTTTTTTTTTTTAAGAGAGAGGGAAAGAAGAGAGGAGGGGCAGAGGGACAGATGAAGAGAGAATCTCAAGCAGGCTCCATGTCCAGCACTGGGGGCTCCATCTCACACCCTGAGATCATGACCCGAGCCGAAATCAAGAGTTGGAAGCTCAACCAACTGAGTCACAGAGGTGCCTTATACAGAAACTGTTAATAATATGTTGGATGGGATGGTAGCCCTTGGTTTATCTTTCCTACCCCACTTCCTGCTTCAGCTGAGTGTGCACTTAGGTTTAAGAGTTTGAAGAGTATGTGAGAAGTTCCTAGAAAATAGGATGAACGGTGCATGGCAAGATCACGGCATGAAATGCTCTGACTGATTAAAGACAGATTTCATTTGCCACATTTCTTTTTCCCAAAAACACTTTGAGAAAGCAAAAATGGAAGAGAGGCATTGTTATTTTAAATGGACTCTACATCACACCTGAGGGTCCAGAACAGGTTTTTGGGGGGGGTTTTTGGTTTTGTTTCTTCACTCAAGCAAAGCTGACTGTTACCTTTTAGAAGTGACTGGTCTATTGACTGCTAATGCTTTAAAAATGAGATTAAATCAGGCTCATGGTCTTTATTACAAGGAAGATATATGCCCCTTGTGCATTCCAGTGGTTTGGCAATCTTAACCTCGACAGACATAACATTGATGTATGCCGTGTTGCCAAACAGCATGGTAAGTGTTTAAAATGCTGTGAACAGCCTTATTGCCTTGAAATGATACTATCTAATATTAGATTGTAACTCAGTGACTGAATAGGCCCGCCCATCCTTCTACAGAATAGGAAAGTTGAAGCCACTTTGTTTTAATATCTCACAGGGAAGGGATCATTCTTCATTTCACCACTGAAACAGAGCACATAAAAGTGAATCTAGATTGCAGGGAAACTGAAATCACAGCGCATCGGGTCATTTTCATTAACAGCACATATGCATCTGCCTTTTAGAATAGGGTGTCGAAACACCAGCCTAGCTCATTCAAATCGGCAGAACTACCTTAGCACCCTTTCCACTTCCCTTGGAATATTCTGGGAAAGCAGATTTTACCTTAATCCTCAGGGCTTATTCTACTTGTTCCTTTTAATCAATCATAATTAACATAGACTTTCAGTCCTCTCCACACTTTATGCTCATCAATCAAATTCCAGACATCCATCACTCAAAGGACCCAGGGGGCTGATAGCCTTGGTTTGCATGATCAGAATGCCACCTCACGTTTTTGCTGAGTAAAGAAGACTTTCTGCAACTGTGCTTCAGCCTGTCATTGCTAAAGCAGGCAGGATACCACCAGGTAGGCTGACCAACCATTCTAGTTTTACTTGAGACTGAGGGCTTGGTTCTTAGGGCATGGTATTTTCAAATGCTAAAACCAGCTCAGTCCCGGTTCAAGCAGGATGGTTGGCCACTGTATCTCTAGGTGAGGACCCGGCCCCCCAAGAAATCTTTGCTCAGGCACAGTCTGGTTTGTGATACTCTTTTGTGGCACGAAACTGGATTTCTGGAGTAAATGCGTATCAATAAAATCTAATTTTTTATGCTGTCACCTGACAAGAACATCTCTTGCAGATTTTAACTTCCTCACACCCTGGTAGAAGAATGTGTGCTGGAGTGGTGGTTCTGTCCAATTGTCCTAGCACATGTTATTGCTGAAAATGAGTCTTAATTCTTATCAGTATTCTAGATTTTAGATGAAACGGGACCTGGGAAAAAAAACCCATATCAAATGGCTGCCCTCTTGGTTTAATAGCAATTTTTTATTTCTCATTTGGAAATCTATATATTGCAGTTCAAGCCATTATACTTAAAATTCACTGCTCTGAAGGCAAAAGAAAAAAAAAAAAAGAAAGAAAGGGAAAAAAGCTCTGCAAAATTTCAGCATTAGTGATTCTGTAAAATGGAATTAATTAGGAAATAATTTGTTTCTAATATTTTTCAACTAATGAAAAGTCCTCCCCCCAGAAACCGGTAGTATATCAACTTGGGATAGTCTTTGTTTCTAAAAATCTCATAATGCTATGTTAGTTGTTGAGATCCTTCTACTGTTTTCCAAGCAATTAAAGAGAAAGTAAGTCAAAACCATGAGGGAATACGCATATATCTTTTTTACATTGTTCCTTTATCTTAAAAATGTATACTGTTTCTGCAAAGATGATTTTCTTATCCCCAAAAAAGGAATACGAAGAGATGAAGAAGGAGGAGGAGAAAAAGGAAGAATCCACTTACCTGCTACTGCAACTTTCGCTGTCCGACTAATAATTGACCCAGAATCTCCTAAAGATGCCTCACATTGGTAAAGTCCCTCATCTGGCTTATGGTGCCTGGAGTGAAGTATGTTTTGTATCAACAGAGAGCCATTTGGAAGTTGCTGCTTCCTTTCATCCATTCCCAAGGCCAGGTGGACACCATCTTTCTTCCACTTGATAACGGGGACTCCTCGGTCAGACTCAGCAGAGCAGTTTAGAAGGACATTTCCTCCCCGCATGGTGACGGCATCGGAAGGCTCTGACAGGAAGTGCAGTGATGTGAAAGGCTTAATCTGGAAACCTGGAACAAGAAAGCATTAAGGAAATAAATATGCTCACTTATTCAAAGACATCACCGGCTTTTATACCCTGCCTCTTCTTTACAAAACTTTTTCAAAACAGCAGGGGTCTTTGAAAAATATCAAAGAATAAATGATATTCTGTTAAAGGAACAAAAACAAAACAAACAAAAAAAACAAAAAAACCATGCCCAATTGAGCTAACTGAATTAATAAAACAATTGGCCCAAAAAGTAATAATTGTGAGAAATTAAAAATTCATACAAACCTAGGCATGACCATCATCACTTATAAGTCAATGCTTAAAAATATAGACAGAAAAACCTAATATTTTCCAAATAAAACTGGATATTTTAAAGTAACAATGCTTAGTAGGGGAGCAGTAGTAGTAGTGCCCCTAGGATTTGGGGGACCTTTTCTATCTCTGCATTTTGATTATAGCACCCATTAATTTTTTGAAAAAAATCTACTCAGATATGTTGTTTCATTACCAACAACAACAAAAATCAACTCTGAACACTGTAGGGAAAGTTATTTAGAACAAACCTCTGGTGAATTTTAAAATAGGTAAGAAATCCCTGCTTGCAGAAGCAAGACAATAATGCTACTACCTAAAATCACAAATCCCTGAAGTGTCTTAATTTCCATCTGAATGTTGCTCATGAGCCAGGAAATCTAAGTGAATATTATATTACATTTGGTGTCTCTCTTTTTTTTTCTATAAACATAAATAAACATAAGAGATCAACAGGAGAAAGAGAAAGTCATTTAAGAATCCTGAGGGGAGGAAACAAGTATAATTAGTTAAAGTATATTATATTCAGGGCTCACAACATAGCCTTTAGCAGAATGCTTGGTTGTTGAATCATAGGCTTTAGCAAGGTTTTTGGAGGTCATTGGGCTCACCCTTTGCTCAAACAGGTGTATGCCTAAATCATTCGAATTGAATTACTTTTAATTTCCTTTTTAACCATCTCTGGGGCTAGGGATTCTACAGTGGCTCTTGGTGTCTTGTTTTTAATATTTAATTGTTATTAGAGTATAACTGAATTTTCTTGCTTCTATTTAATCTCATATTTTTTTTCCTGAATTGCTTTGTGTGAAAATACAGAGGAGATGGACATTTCTTTTTAAGAGCCCTTTATTCTTCTGAAGAATTTAATTTCTTTAAAAAATACCACCTAAATTGTTTTAGCCTTCTTGTGTTTCAGGATAACAACCTCAATTTCATTAGCTTCCTTAATTTTTCTGTAATGGAAACAATTTTGTGTGTGTACTTTGTGTAAACTTTCTAATTTTCTATCATTTAAAAGGCAGGCACCTAAATTGCCTATCATCAATATTCTCATAAAGGATTGATCCATACTAGCTCCAATGGATGGATTCTTTCTTAACTTTGTATATACCCGCTTTCCAGTGAAAATAAAAGCTGGACAGTTTCTCACTGTTCCTCTGTATTGTTACCTGTCATACCCAATTTTTCTAAGCCTTCTATTTGAAGTCTGTTACTTTTGCTTCTCTGTTGAAGTGCACCCAGTGAACTGCATCATTTATCATCTTATACTCATTTTATCCAATGAGAATATTCACCCAAAGAAAGCAGCTGAAACTTTGCTCAAATTAATATAAATTATAAAATAGCAGTGAGCATTTCAGTCTACCATAAGTGATATTGGTAAAATTCTCAAAAGATACAGCCTAGCCCCCTCACTGCCTAATAAGCTCCTCCTCCCCCCGCAAAACCATTTTAGTGTAGTCAGCTTACTTTTTACCGCCCATTCTTCTAGTGGGAACTATATCAAATTGGGGGTCTGAATATTTAGCTCTTGGTCTTAGCATTATTACTTAAAGATCCATGACTCCAACACATCTTTCAAGGCCTCAGAATCTCAGTTCCTTCATCTGTAAAGTGAGGGCATTGAACTAAACAATCTCTAAAGTCAACATCTAGTTTGGAAACTTTCCGAACTAGTATGGGTTGAAGGCATCCATCAAGTGAATCCTGCTCTGAGCTTATTCAGATGCAGACTGATGTTGCTCTAAATGACTCCCCCGTGTCTACATGATACCCTCCTTTACAAGAAAAGAAACACGAGTCAGTGAACACCTAACTTGAGATACCAAGGATGGGAAAACAGAGAGAAGTTCCAATGTCCTTGAATGTCAAGATATTTCACTAGAGTAATACCTGCAATTTCCATACAAGTGGCATTAAAAGGGTAGAAATAAATTTAAAATTCAAGACCAGACAACTATATTAAAAAGCATTTATTGCTTTTTGGTTCTTCCCGGGGCCTATATTTTAAACAACAGTCTCATGATGAACACCTTATTTATGTCACAGAACACATAATACACTGAATGTGGCTGTTTATGACAGCATGCTAATGAGTATATGTGCCCATTATCACAAATAAATAATCCACTTAATCTGAAACAAGGAGTTTATGACAGTTTTCAGTGCTGTGAGTACATAATTTAGGAAAGTTAAATAAAGATTAACTTTTCTTCAAAACAACCACCCTTGCATTTTGCTGGCAATTTGAGCTTCTGTACTCCTTATAACAATTACATATATTTTTTAAAGATTTTATTTATTTATTTGACAGAGAGATAGACAGAAGAGCACAAGCAGAGGGACTGGCAGAGGGAGAAGGAGAAGCAGGCTCTGCACTGAGCAGGGAGCCTGATGCGGGACTCAATCCCAGGACCCTGGGATCATGACCTGAGCCAAAGGCAGATGCTTAACCATCTGAGCCACCCAGGTGCCCAACAATTACATTTTTAATACATTGCTGAGGAATATAGGTATCTCACTGCTTTAGGTAACTTACATTAGTTACTTAGTTTTTAGAAAAGATGGACTCAAGCCAATAGAATCTGTTGAGAAGCAATACATTTGTCTCCAATGTTCTTCTTTTCAAAGTTCCAGTCTATGTAGGCATAAGCTGCTTGCATTCTCTTCGGAGATATCTTACATGGGCTTAAGAAATGCTCCACTAACACAGTACGCGGACTCCAATTTGGGTTGTCCCCCCTTCCTCTTCTCTTAGGGTACTAGCTCCTCCTGGAGGGATTTTGCCTACCAGTACATCATATTTTAATATGAAATAATTTTTACCCAATTGTTTCATCCAAGAATCTCTATCTGAAATCAACTACACTGATCTAATGTTTGAACAGAGAAAGATAGATGATAAAACTGAAGAAGACAAAGAAGTAGAAATCACTTTTGGAGGCTGTAGCTCAAAAAGTTGTGGCTGGAATTTGGGCAGGCAGAGTTGGATGGGGGACAGATCGCCTGGGAAATGAGCAAAAGAAATATTCAGAAAGCAACAGAAGAATGCTTTTGAAGAGTTACAATTTTAGAGGATTTTACATTAGATTGACTATGGTGGGGATTTCATCCAGAAGAAAGCCAACTGGAGAAGTTTTTGTTTGTTTTGGTTTGGTTTTCTTTTTAAGATGCCAGTGGTCATTCTGTTGAAACTTTCTTTAAATAGTAACATTTCTCATTCTTGCTTCATAAAAGAAGTGATCTTTTGGCCTGCTGTAAAATTACATGATTAATTATATTTTGGAGAAATATATTTGAGAGTACCTAAATACCATCCCCTAAGAAATCTGAATGGTTGAATCTGATAGCAGAGTTCATGATTAGAATGAATGAGTCTCAGGGCCTCTTCTCCCTCCAAATGTTGGCTTGGAAAGATCTCTAGATCTTCTCTGGGTAGGAGTTAGGCATAGAGCCATAGATGCATTTAACCCATTGGTCTTTTCTTATCTGTATCAGTCTGAGAAAAAGTAATAAAGTGTCATATTGTTCTCGGACATGATTCTTTATTTTCATCTTCTTCTGAAAGACCGTATTTTATAAGCACATAATAACACAGCAAATCCTTCAATGTTTTTCCAATATAGATATAGAGGAGAGCTTGAGGGGTGACCCAAAGGAGAAATATCAACATTTATTTGCTTTGGTTTTGTCAGACATAAATAAACATCAGAAATAACAGTGTCAGGGCTATTCAAAGTTTATATTAATTGAGTATCTAGAGATAGAAAAGATTTGTAATGTATTTTAGAAACTCTCCAAAATAATCAAAGAAATAGTAAAAATCTTTCTGTTAGCAGAAGTTCCTTTGTGTATGCCCTCCTTCTCATATTCTTATTAATTTCAAAGACCAGTCACAGAGGCAGGCTAACTTAGAATGGCTTTTTTAAAGTATGACATTTTATCTACAATATCAAATATTGTTGAGTGTGAAAAATAATTCCTCACGGAGTCAGAAAGTCCTTTCCAAGTCCAAAATGTAAAATCTTCTGGTTAAAGCAATAAAAGCTAAAAAAAAAAAAAAGAAATTTATGAAAAGTAGCATGAACGTAAAAAGCAGCTCCTGAAAAGATTTTAAGATTAGAAAATGTCGTACAAGTCCCCATAGAACATGCTATGCAAAATTTCATCTATTTCAAATTACAAAACTTTCACTTTGGGATGCTTGGAGATTCGGATGATGCCCAATTTTTGTAATTAACCCAGAAAACTCTGCCATCATTATCTCTTCTTAGAAATATATGCTACTGCATCTGCTTCTCCTGTGTTAAGGAAATCCATCTCCACTGAAGGAAAGTAAAATTGTTCTATGAATGATAGAATACCCTTTTTAAGTCATCAAACACCAATTACAGGTACAATTATAACTCTGGACTTCAGCCCTAACAAAAGTTTATAATGCTTCTGAGACTTTGGTTTGGAACAGGGAATTTAAAAAGCAAAGCAAAGTGAAACAAAACAAAACACAAGAATTAAAAGAACCCCTAACTATATGTGACCTTTACTGGGTAGGATATCAGAATATAAATTCTGAAACAGTGATTCTCAAACCATGGTTCCCAGACTAGCAACAGCAATACTGGGAACTTGTTAGGAATGTACAATCTCAGGCCCCACCCCAAACCTACCCAATCAGTAACTTTAGGGGTAGAGTCCCACAGGGTTTAATTAGCCTTCCAGGGGATTTTCATATTCGCTAAATCTTGACAACTGCTTCTCCAAAACATCTGGTGCCCTGGACTAGAGCATAGGGGTCCTTGTGTTCTTTGTACTGTCCTGTTATAATTTCCCATATTTGGGAAAAGTACATAATTTGGGTCAATTCTTCTTCTTTTTTCTTTTCTTTCTTTCTTTTCTTTTTTTTTTTTTCTAAGTAGGGAGATGAAGTTATGGGGATGATCAAGGAAGGCAAATAACTGAACATTTTCTCAACACATATTTTATTAATATTTGCAGCACATTTCTCTTCGAAAGCTTAAGGAAAGGTGGAGAAAGGGCCAAGGAAGAGGGTTATTGTTGACAATACCTCCACTTTCCACTTGGTAACCAGTACTTTGTTGGGACCCCAAATGGCTGTACTCCATTGAGCCAAATTTAAATTCCAGTCAATTGAACGTTTAGAGTGCTCCTTGTGATATCCTTGGTTCTTCATACAAGGAACTGTCAAAAGATTTCTGTTGATCAACTATGATAGCTACAATCCTCTCTCAAAAGAAGTTTTGGTAAATATAGTATTCTTCTTTATCAGATTGCACTTCTTTTCATTACATGTGATCTCCATGGTATAATTGTAGCCTTTTAAACCAGTGGAACTCTAGACACTTGCTTGACTGACCTACCCCTCACTTCAGTTTAGTATCTAGACGGGCAAAACCATAATTGCACTCACTCTGCTGCAGCGTGGGGGGTCCTTTACTTGCTCGATCTTAATGCAAGACTTTAACAGTCAGCCAGCCCAGAGCAAGACAATATATCTCACTGAAGGACCAGAACCAGTGACTACTGGGGTTTCTGTGAAGTGTTGGTGCTTTTTTTTTCTACTTTGATAAGAGACAAAGTAAAAATAATTGTCAAAAGATGCAGTTGTATTTTTTTTAATTGTGTACATTCCAGGCTTTGCTAGAGACTAGCATATTTTGA